GAGTTATTATTAGCAGATGGATGCAAAAAAAGCGGATAAAACAATAAATATTGTGTATCTGACCACATTCATTCCATGTGTATCCTATAACCCTTGACCCTAATGTCATCAAGACTTTTCACTACAGTCCGATTATAGTATCGGATAGTTTGATTTATACCTTATATTCATTTCAATGACAGGTTTTTTTTTTTTAAAAAATGGAAACAAACAGTTTTTTTTATACTCCATTGAAAATTACTATTTCTAATTTTTTTTTGAAGTAGTATTAGTTTATAAAATTATTAAAACAATTTACTGTTTTGATTTTTTGTACGATACTTACTAATTAACCACATAATAAAAGACTGGCAAAAATTTTTTAAACTTATTTAAAATAAATCAATCGATCGGACATTTATTAGGTATATGAAAATTGAGCTGAGCTTATTGTAACGTTTAAATTTCAATTAATCAAATATATTTTTTTGTTTTACTTCAACATGTCGACGTTCCTCTTCTAACATTTGCCTAATAATTTTCACACGTTTTCGTTTCCATTCTTCTTTTCGCTCGTTCTAAAAAAAAAAATTAATTTTAAAAAAAAACTAAAAATGGTATATGCTGCGTAAGTATAGTCCTGAAATTTTTTGCTTTTTTTTAAAAATTTTTATTGAAATGGAAAATGTAGTATTTTTTATTTCAGAAAGCAATAATCATACCAAGCACATAATTCGTCTGAATAAATCTTTTCAATCTTGTATTTCTTAACTACGAAAAATTCACTTTAAATTTTTTAATCTCTCTTTTCTTCCTCAAAAAAGAGCGAATTTGAAAAGAAAAAAGGAGAAAGGTCGATCATTTAAACCAACTTCAATTGTCATCATTTACAAATCTTTTTTTCCCATAAAAATATAACCTCAATAAATGTAGGTTCAGTGATAACTGGTTTGCTTTCATGAGCTCGCATTTGTAAAATTTCTTGAACATCCAACGTGAGAGGTTCAGGTGGTGGTCCTAATAATGTTAACGCCACCGTTTGGCCTCCTGACGCAAAAAAAAAAAATTTAGTACTGATAAATATATATAACCATCAATTTTAGAAATAATTCATTCGAAAAATATCGCATAAACTTCATTTCGAAACATCTTTGGTACTCCGTCATTTTTTAAGACAAATTTGAAAAATATTTTTCAGTTAAAATTTGGAACAGAAAAAGTGAAACTAATAGTTACTGTCTGTAAATATGCAATAATCAATAGTAATAATAATAATAATAGTAA